GGCGGTGCTAAACTGCTTGTTTTTCCCGTGTGCATCTGTCGAATCTAAGCAGATGCAGTCTCTCGTTCTATTTTTGCATAGCTGGCACTTGAGAGAGGCACTGGAGGGAAGTTTTCTGGGGAAAAAAATGGAAAAGTTATCTAGGCAGACATCTGAACTCCTCCCTGCTGTGGAAATAGGCTCTGTGCTGTGTCTCAAAGTAGGGGTAACAGCCAGCACATGATTTTTATTACTTGACTGCCTTGGCTTAATACTTTGTTTTGCCTGAAGAGAGGTGGTGATTGAAGATACATTGCCTCTTTGGAACTACAAATTAAACTCTAATAGAAGATGCACCATCCTGTGGGAAACCTTATGTTTCACAAGATCTGACATTAATCAGTTTGAGCCGTTAGATGTTTCATGCCAAACCTAATATCAAACCATTTCAGTTTGTTAAACTTGGACCTTGAACTAAATGTCCAGCTTGTCCAGGTCCTTGTGAACTCTGAGTTTGTATCTTCCTTAATCATAGAAGGACAGCTCCATCTGGTTTAGTTTCTGTCTTCTTTTGGAACCTGCATTAGGAGCCAGCAAGGGGTTTATAGGGCTTTAAAGTCATAAAAGGGATGCACTTCATAAGAGTAGACAGTTGTTCTTTGGCCACAAGGAGCATACCATTCATCTCCTAGAGGCTCTAAATATTGTTTTACCTCTTTACCTTACACGTATTTCAATTCATCTCACACCTGGCAGTCTGGGTGCCCATCTCAGCCTCTCTTCTCTCACAGTCTGTCTCTTCATGCTGTCAATGGGTTGGGTACAGATCCTGCAGCAAATGGTCCTAGCTTTTTCTTTTTCTCTCTTTGTCATCTTTTTTTTTTTTCTTTTGGCTGGATACCATAATCATCAGAATCTAGGAGGGATCTGGGGCTGTCAGCTTCACTGTTATCAAGTGCTGGCATCATCTGTTGCCTCCTTACCTTGCCTACTTTGCCCTGGGAATTCAAAGTAGTAGTAAACATGTTCATTTCTGACTATTAAGTTAGTAAGTACTTTACTCCACTATTTCTTAAATTTGAGCATTGAGGAAGGCTGTGAAGATACATAGATTTACTGGATATGTTCCAATGTGCAAATAAATGGAAAAACCCCAACTTTACAATGATGAGAATTTAGTATTTGAAGATATGAAGGGTTATAATGGTGTGGCAAATGAAAGATTTCTTTTGGATTAAAGCCACCGCTTATGTAGCTTGATATAATTACAAAGAAGACAAATTGTAATTTGCTTTTCCTTTTGCTCTAGTGTCTTTTAACATGGACTTTGTCATTCATAGTAAGATGGAAATCTTTAAAGATCTTTAACCTATAACCGTCTCTTACACTCTCTTTTGCTGTCTGTGTGCTGGCATTTAAGTGAAAAATCCAAGGGAGTCTTAAATGCCATTTAGAAGGATGTTCATTCCAGCTGTTTGCAGGATTGTATAGGTCAACCAGCCAAGGGGCTTGACTTTAGTGTTTTGGGATCAGTTACAGCTTCATTGGAGGGTTGAAATTCAATCTTAAATCACTGTGCTGTAACGAGTTGGCACTAGGGGTTTTATTACAATAGCTGGCTTTTTCTCTATCATGGCTACCCATAGACTGTAACTGCATTTTTACAGTGTCTGTCTGGTAGACATAGCCATCAGCCCCGGGTATATCACACTGGCACCCGTAGTGTGCTGGGAAGTGGGATTATTTGATGCCACCTTTTATATCACTGCAGTCAGGCAACCCTGCAGAATAAATATTAACAGACTCTTCCTTTCATCCTGATAAGATTCTTAAATAATGTACTGTTGCCTTTCTGAGCCAAGTCCTGCAGCCTTGATGTAGTCACGGCTTCTTTTGACTTCACGTGAGTTTTGCATGGCCAAAACTGAAGGCTTAGGCTTAGTTTGTTGAAAGTATATAACAATGTCATATCAAATCCATCACTCAAAAGCTTTCTGAACATCTGCAGTGAGTTGACCCTGGCTGAACACTAGGCACTCACCAAAGCTGCTCTATCACTCCCCTCTGGAACTGGAGAGAGGAGAGAAAATATAATGAAGGGTTCATGAGTTGAGCAGACATCACTAACAATTACCATCACTGGTGAAACAGACTCGAGGTGGGGATATTGATTAAATTTATTACTAACAAAATCAGAGCAGGATAATGAGAAGTAAAATAAATCCCAAAAAACATCTTCCACACACCCCTCCCTCCCCCCGAGCACTGCAGGGAGACAGGAATGAGGATTATGGTCAGTTCATCACAGGTTGTTTCTGCTGCTGCTCAGGGAGAGGAGTCCTTCAGCTGCTCCCCGTGGGGTCCCTCCCAGGGGAGATAGTTCTCCATGAACTCCTCCAACATGAGTCCATCCCACAGGCAACAGTTGTCCATGAACTGCTGCAACATGGGTCACTTTTGCCCAGGGTGCAGTCCTTCAAGAACAGCCTGCTCCATTGTAGGCTCCTCTGTCCACGGGTCAGCAGGTCCCTGCCAGGACCCTGCTCCAGCATGGGCCTCCCACGAGGTCACAGCCTCCTTCAGGCATCCACCTGCTCTGGCCTGGGCTCCTCCATGGACTGCTGGGGCACAGCTGCTTCACCATGGTCTGCACCGTGGGCTGCAGGGGAGCCTCAGCTCTGGTGCCTGGAGCACCTCATCCCCCTCCTCCACTGATCTTGGTTATCTGCATTGTTGTTCACACGTTCTCACTCTACTCTTCTCTGACTGCCATTTTCATCTGTGCAATAACTTTTCTTCCTTCCTAAATATGTTATCACGGAGGTGTTACTATCATTCTCTGTTGGCTCAGCCTTGACCAGCCGTGGGTCCAAGCTGAAGCTGGCAGGCATTGGCTCTACGAGACATGAGGGAAGCTTTGGGCAGCTTCTCACAGAAGTCAACCATGTAGTCTCCCTGCTACTAAAACCTGGTCACACAAATCCAATACAACATGACTGGTGTAGTTGTAAGACATTTGTAGTACACATAATTAGAAAAAAAACATTTTTCCCTTAAGAATTACCTGTTTTGTGCTTGTTTGATAATGTTGAATAGTGATATTACATATATAAATATATTTGTTAAGATTTGGAGAAAACACACTAAAGAAGAGATCCCTTTCAGCATCTGTATAATTACATCTGTAGATTTTTAAGATCTGACATTTGCCAGCTCTCCTTATTGTAGTATGGTCCACATTCTCTGATGAGATCAATTTCTTTGCCATTCATTTAGTGGGGTCTTCTGGTTCTGAGATGTTAAAACAGTGTATTGGCTTTCAAAAATAATTGAACACATACTCCTCACTGCTTACCTGCCTTTTTTCTGAAGCAGTTATTGAAAAACTACTGATAAAATATTGACAAGTGACACTTGCTTTTATTTCAGAAAAAAAATTATTATTTTGCTAAAATACCATGTCTGCAGCAATATAATGTACTATCACTACCATCACCCTCCAATGAACTTATTCACCAAAACACTTACCAGAATGGTGGAAGGACCTTTACTTAGTTCTGAGTATTTTCCATATGTATTGAACTGTTGAATAAGAGTAACATTCATTGTTGAAAAGCAGCACAGACTTTCTTAAAAAGAGGACATGTTTTTAATTGAACCTGCCCTTTTTTTCTTTGTTTCTATGCTTTGGTCTTCATTAATCTTGGCTACTACTCTTTTATCGAGTGCTTTCAGCATATATATTCCTTTCACTTTATATTTTATTTAAAGTTACTCAGGTGACAGTCAATTACTTATCTGACCAACACTGCAAAGGCACTTTTGATATTAGATCATCTGGGGTTTTTTTCTTCTTTGACAATTACTTGTCAGAAAGATAACAGTTTCTCTTTTGCTCAATTAAACTGAACTTACTATAAATATTAATGATTTACTCAGAATCTTCCTTAGCATTCAATAACTTCCATGACACATAATTTTATAAATGTATTTAGTGAGCTGCTATTAGGGATTACCACCTTAAAATCGCCCAAAAGCTAGTATTTCACCTAGACAAGTGAATTCAGATCATTAAAAATCTAATGGGAGTTTCCTCTTCAGTCAGATGATTGCTTTAACTGTCACCAAAGATATAAAGAAGAGATTTATATCAATTTTTAACATTTCATTTTGACACAGACTACATTCATCTTTGGTTATGAAGCCACCATTGAAAGATGGTAAGTTACAGATGAGGCTGTGATCTTTAGCTGAGGAACAGGTTCTTCCACCAGGAGCTATCATCTGACACCACCCTTCCACTTCAGATGTAAATGTTCTCCTCTACTTTCAAAACCTGGCATTTCTCTCATGTTACTCTTATCTTCCTTTTTTACTGAAGTCAAGCCTGTCAGTAAAATTCTGAAATCACAGCAGGAGTATAAAATCTGTATAAAAAGCAGTTTATACATTAACAGTTGGTCTTTGATGCAACTTATTTATTTGCTTACTTATTTATTTTAACCTTCTTTCATCATTTGTTAGTCTTCTATTAGAAATCCTGGATTTTAGCATGTGGTAAGTCAATCTTTTATTCTCCAGTGCTGGGGTTTTATTTAGAGTAGTTTGGAAGCTTTTTGATGTCTTTTCCCCTTAAATTAAAAAGTGAGTATTCTCCAAAATAATATAAAAGTATGATGCGAACATCGAGTATTTGCCCCAAGGTTTTACGAAAATGTTTTCTCAGTGGAACATCTGTCAAGAAAAAGCCAAATACATGCCTAAGAGTGCTGGAATGTGAAGACAGACTTTAAGTCAAATGTGGCTAGGGCTAAAAATCACCTTGATCCAAGGTCTTCTCTGTCAGCTGAATATTCTGGCTACAAGGTGACGTAAGAGGCTCCCACTGCTCCTCTTGTGCCTCACCATTGCCCTCTTCCTTGTGTTAGTGTGTAGCTTTTTGGGAGCGTGCACCAATGTGGGCAAAAATGAAGGAAGAAAAAAGGGCAGGAAAGTAAGAAGGAAGGATAGGATGGGGTGGGATGGGATGGAATGGAGGGATAGGTTGTGAGGGAAAGGTGAGTGCACTGCTGAGTTTAGCAAAAGGTATCCTAGGGCTTCAGAACAGAGGGGACTTAAAGCTCCTGGTGGGGTTTCCTGAAGGAGGCTTGGGAATCAGTTCAATTTTTAACAGTTGCATCTACCAAACTGCACTGAAATGTCTGTAATTCATCACAGCACATTGGAACAACAGTCCTCAGAGATTCATCATGTTCAGGAAACTCTTCCCGAAGGCACAAGTTAAATTTATGACCACAAGATGAAGCTGAGAAGTTTGGAGAAAACATCTTTATTCTTAGATGCAGCATTTAGTATGGATGATGAGCTGTGATGATGAACTTCTAATGATAATTATCAGCATCATCGACCAACTCAGTCTTATAGGAATAATTCAAATGTTTCAGATAATTCCTGACTTAAATTTAGAAAACGAATGCTCTGGACTGTAATTTTTTGGTTCACTTTTTTTTTTGTATACTATTTTCATTTTTAAAAGCTGAGTCCATTTCAAACAGTAACAATGTCTATTTGGGGAGTCATAATAATGTTCCTCTTTTTTTTTCCCCTAGATTTTTTAATCGTTTTTATTTCAAAAAAGGCTTCAAAGCTATATAGTTTCAAGCTCTGCAGCTAATAGGTATTTAATTTTATGATTTTTGCCAGATTCCTTGAATGCAAGTTTGTTAGGTATGGTATGGATACTTCTCTGGTTATAATTTCAATGGATTGTTTTACATGACAGTTTGAAGCAACTTTTTAATATCCAATGCAGAGTAAATTATACTTCCTAGCTTTGTAAATTTAGTAATTTATAGGGTATCAAATTTGCAGCTATATCATTAACCTTTTAGTTCTCTATTAAGCAATTTTTTGTTCTTCTGTTTATATCAAGCCACTTTTAGTTTTTTTCTTGTATGAAATGATCTCTTACTTATGAAAACACTTTGTCTTGATCCAATGACTCCTTCTGCTATGGATGTAGATCTATTTATAAATCTCAAACTAATATCTCATTTATAAAAGCTTTTCCATTAAAATATAAAAGTGACTGTTATCTGTGATGTTTCTGACAGAAGAGAAAATTGAGTTTTAACACTTATTTTGAAAAGTTGACTTTGTAACTCTGCTGTGGTGTCTCATCACTCAGACAGCTTCTGATATTTATTTTGAAGTGTAACACAACATGAGCATTTAAATGAGGGGTTTACTCCATAGGGCACACTTGTTGAAGCCTGCTTTTAAAAATGTTTTTGGATCTCTCTGTTGACTAGGACCATCTTGGTGATTTGTTTCTGTAGATCCTATGCAGCATTGCTGATTGCTGCCTTTTATTTTGTTATTCCTTTACTATAAGCTGCATATGGGTCATTAAGATTATAGCTTGCCCTATTTCTTTCTGTTCAGAATGTTCCAAATGTGCTGCACATGTGGTTGATCCATCTAGGTGGAGAAGCTCAAAATTCTAACAGATTAGTTCATCTGAACTCTTTGCTGCTTTTAACACAAGAGGGCTTGGGCATGGCCATGAGAGAAAGTTCAGCCTGAGGAACTTTAATGGAGTCCCATCTTGCAGCTTAGTACCTTCTCCTTGCACTCTGTGGGAAGTGGGCCGTGAAAGACTTAGCAAAATAAAGAGGTAAAAGAACAAGACAAGTGTGGCACATCTTCATTAAGTGAACTGATACAGTCTCACTAGAGCATTTTTCTGTTAGTCCTAGTCTCCTGAGTTGCACTTTACATTACAAGGTTGTCGGTGATGATGATGACTAAATAACAAAGCACTCCCTTGCCAGCAGTAGTAAGAAATATCATGTCTCCTTTTCCAAGTGTTGTTATGATAAGAAAATGTTATTTCCTATCATCTTTGATACGTTTTTATAAGTTCTCATGAAAAATTTTACTCAACTGGAAACCAGACACCAGTATTTAGGTTGCCCAAACCAAACCCTCTTCTTTTATTTATAAGAAAGGTTTGAGTTTTCATTCCACTTTTATGGTAATTATTTAAAAAAGTATCAAACAACAATTTATTGTGGACACTCCGAAACTTTGTTGTCTTGGTTATCATGAGTAGTAGAGGTGCCAACCTCTGCTTTCCCTTCAGAGTTCTGATTTTTTTGGCTGTTTTCAGGAGAATCTGAAAATAGTGATGAAAGCAGAAATTCATGTGGAAAAATTTCTCTTTGAGAAAAACAGCCTCTTAATCATCAAAATGTTTTTGGTGAAACATTTCAAAGTACTCACATGCACATAACTCCAAGTGAAACCATCTGTCAGTGTCTGCTTTTTTCCAGCTGCACCATGTGGCATAGGTTAGTCTGGTGGCCAATCTTGGCTACTGAGATTTTGTGCAAACAGAGATAGTACTGGTTTTTCATATATGTGTAAAACCAGCCTATAATTGCGCACAGCTACCTGTTTCCTTCTGTTTATTCTCATGATTTCTGTGCAATGAATTACCTGAATCATAGACTGTTAGGGACTGCTTTTATTCAATTGCACAGAGCAAAAAAATCTTTGGCTTTCACTGCTGCTTGGGGACTCTGTTGGGTGAAATACTAGACATAAGAACAGCAGTATTCAGATGTTTTCTCTATTCAATGCATATTGCTCATGGTATAAAGAAAACAGAACTTAATGTGTTCCCTCTGACATGATCATGAATTATTAGGTTTTTTACTTCTACCTGCAGTGCCTGCAAGCAGGTGTTATAATTTAGAAGAAAGTAGCAATTTGAGCAGGATAGACGTGCCTCCTACTTCTTTATTTTCTTTATACTCCAGCCCCGTCCCCCCCTCCCCACTAATGTATTATGTGGGCTTTAGGGATGAGACAAATTACTCTGTGTTGGTGACAAGAGCAAAATAAATGAAATTTAGCTGTGCAGGTCACTGCATAGTCTGATAGTGAGAGCACTTGTTAGTGGGGAAGGAATGCTACTGCATGTTTGACATCCTGCTTCCAGGGCTCCTTCAGTGGTTTCATGCTGTCACTGTGTATAAAAATAAAGAGCGAGCCCTGCAGGCAAGAAACACAAGCAGCGCTCCCAATTCTGGATAAGTGCCATAAGCAATAGGCTCTAGACTCATGTTTCTGCTTATGCTCTCTTTCTGACTCACTAAATGCAAATTCTTGTCTTCTGCCTGTGACACAGCTTCAAGGAGAAGCTCTCTCCCTTGGTACCCTAATGGATGGGAAGTGGAAGGAGAGGAATGAATACCTCAGTAGGCAGCAGGAGAGGAAATTGAACTTTATTTCTCTGTGGTTGTGGTGGATGTCTTTACCAGAGTAATCCATAGAAAGACTAATTACTTTTTTATGTGTAACTGTACCTATGGTGGATATGTGTACTGTCATCTTTGGGAAATACTGTGGCCACTGTACTACTTTGTGGGACTCCAGACCTGTCTACCAGATTTATTCAGAACTTGATTGGCAGATATCAAGGAGGTGCACATGAAGGCAAACTTTGTATCTGATCCAGTTTAGGGATGAGCTGAATAATAAGCCTTTTAACATGGGTCTGTTGGCAAAGTGCAGTGGTTGTGTTCATTTATGTTGTGGTACTGTGTCTTTTAGGCATTTACATGGCTCTGAAAATTTCTCTGAAGGGCCAGTTTAAGAAGGGACACATACTAAACAGTTTCATTCATACCTGTGCTGCAGCATTCATATCTGTGCTTCAGGCTTTTGTCTTTCAGATAGCTCTCGATATTTCAGTGCTACATAAAATGCCTAAGGGCATTCATCTCTTACAGTGAACCAGGAGTTTGAAGGGAATCTCCTGAATACCTACTCTGGGCAAACCCTTTGCTCCCTACACCAGCACATTCATATGTGCCTGGGGAAGAAGCCAGGCAGTAGCATTGTGGATGCTAGTGAGCCATTAGAATTTTCTATCAGGTTAACCAGGCTTATTGTGACCAACGGTCTTCCCAGACAGGTCACCCATAGCCAGGGATCATTTGGAGTAGTAGGTATATTGTTTGCACACAGCTGCCCTGTTTCAGAGCCAAGGAGGTTTTAATGGAGGCAATCCTAAGCCATCTGGCTTCAGTGCTGGGAGTGTGATGGGACGCAAGTTACTGGTGCAGGTGAAGACCTAGGCTACAGGGGAGTTTCAGTGACTGTCATGTCAGAGGTGGCTGCTAAGTAAATTCTAATCTGATTTGACAGCTCCATCCTCAGCTCACTAGGCAACATCAGGGCTCCAGGATGAAGACACATTGTCTCTGAAAAATGGTGAATTTTTTAGCAATTTAGCTGACCCTAGATCTCCACTTGTAGTGGTGGGAATGAAACAGGCTCTGGTTCTGGTCAAGGATGTCATAAATGTTTTCCTATGTGATACAGGACAGGACTCTTAGCATGTTGTTGTTAGACCGTAAACTGTAAGTTCTGCCTGTGCCAAAGAGTTTTCAAAACTCTTTATTTATCATCTTACACATGAGATTTGGGGCACCCTTGTACTGTACTGTGTGATGTATCCTGTGGTTTAAGGAAGTTGCAGGCAAGGTTATTCCCAAATGTGGGGTCACCTGAGAGAGCTCACTAGAGAGTGGTAGGAAAAGCAAATGGTTCTGAGGTGTCCCTTGTGAAGTCCCAACTAGACCATTATTGTGATGCTCGTGAGTCTACTAGAAGGTGAAGACATTCACCTGACATTCTCGTGTGGTCTGAGATTCTCCCTTACCTATGACATAAAAGGAATAAGAATTTCTGTTAAGATAGGAACATCTTATGTGGCCAAGAGGATAATATCACACTAACATTGTCTACTGCATAATAATTTTTCATTTATGTATACTGGGCCAGATGTTTAGCTGATAAAAGTCACTTCACTGATTGCAGAGCAGCTGCACCGACTTGATGATTCACCTTTCATTCATTTCATTGTTTAGATTTATCATATTTATTAACCTCAGCAGAGAGAATATGGTTTTCAAGTGTGGTTAAGGGAGGATTTTTATACAGGAAAGATGGATTCTGCTCTCAGTGACACCTAGCCCCATCCTGCAGGTAAAGATTGAATCTGGTCATTATGTGTTAAATGAAATGGTTTATGTAAAATACCACATATGATAATACTTTGGTTGGTATTCATAGAGCCATGCTTCCTCCATCTGTCTCAGTTATAAATATTTTAAATGCATATTTGGTAAATTTTAGGGTTTGTAACAATGTAGTAAAATCAACTAGATGCTAATAAATTCTAGCAAGCACAGAAACTCAGTTATTTCTCTGTAGGATTCTTTTTAGTTGCTTAGGAATGTCTTGCTACAGCTGCAAAAATAGTGAACAAAGTTTAGACTTCAACAAATGTGGTGCTGAGAAAGTTGATTTTGTATATTTAGAACAATAGACTGGATTGTCAAAAATGAGTAGCAAATGTGTTTGCAGAAGAATTTTTATCTGGATTTTTTTATCCCTTTTTGTCTAATGTTTAGAAATGCAGAATTACCTAAGAACCACATGCTGATGCAAGGGTAAGGGTTGATGCTTCATAGCTTCCTCCTTTTCCACAGCCCTCTAAATCCAGACCCAAAATGCTATGAGGACAGTGGGAAGAGAGCTATTAGGTTGCCACCGTTTCTTTCTGATTTATAGTTGCCCAAAGTAACCTACCAGCTTTTGGTAGAGCACAGATAGCTCACTTGGCTGTTGGTTTTGAAGCAGCTTGCTCTGAGGTCTTTTAACATTTTCTCCAGCCTTTCACTCCCTGAGTCTATGTCTGTGCCTCAGGTAGTGAGGAGATCCCAGCAGTCTTCCCTAATTCCTACATTTAGGAACTCCTGGGATCATACCCAGTACCACATCTGGTACTCTTCTGAGCCTGCTCTGCTCTTTTGTGCCTTTAGGAACAGACTGAGGAACTTGCAATCAAGTGTAGTTGAGACTAAATCTAAGAAAACAAAGATATGGGGGCAGAGAAGGAGCATGATGACATTTTAGTAACAACAGCAAGGTTTCAATAGCTTTGCTCAATCTAGGTGAGCTTCTGTTTAAGACAAATTTTTAATTAAATGAAATTTGTCAAGTCTTGGAGTTTCCAGAATACAAGAATAAAATAAAATTTTTCTATATTTTATTTGTAGAAGTATTTTTGTACTAGATGTGGTTTTACAAATATTTTATTGAAGTTTTTTCAAAGTGCTTTTTTATTAGAAGAACTGTATGTTGACCAGTATCTGTCTTCAGATATCAGTGTCCTGACAATGCTGACAAAGGCTACAGCCAGGAACCACAGTTTCAGAATTTTGCTATACTGTTCTCTGGTGGAAGCTGGTGCAAAAAAGAAAATGTCAAGTGTTCTCACCCATAATTAAAAAGTGGATGTTCTGTTTATGTGTTTTCTTACAGCTGGCAGCATTAGAGAGGCAGATCTTTGACTTCCTTGGTTTCCAATGGGCTCCTATCCTTGGCAATTTCCTACAAATAATAGTTGTCATTTTGGGTTTGTTTGGAACCATCCAATTTAGGCCTCGTTATATAGTTGTGGTAAGTCTCATTTATTATCTTTTTTTTTTTTTTTGCAGTTGGTTTTAAAACCTGTCATATTACAAAACAGAATTTTCTTGGTGTCAAAACACCAGATGGTATTTCTGTAAAAACTGTAGAGGTCTCCATGTCTTTTTGCAAATTTAGGACTACTGACTGGATTTTCTGAGGTTTTGGAAGTTATCAAGAATAGGAAACTTGGAGAAAATGCTGTCAAAATTATAACCATGATGCAAGTCAATTAGACTATGCATAAGTGAAGAAATGAAATACCAATTGTTGTTATTTCTGCAGTAGACAAGCAGAATCAATGGTGATTAAAAAAATATTTATAATGGCCAAGTTATATTTAGTTACATCTCTTTAACGGGGAGAAGCAAGGATTGTAGAAATTTCCTTGGTCCTGTGACCCACAGGTTCCAAAGAAATCTCCTTCACACTTACATGTAACTTTGTCAAGACCTGTATTTATGGCCTTGACCCTAAATTATTGTAAATTGTCTCTGATGCTTCACAGTTGTTTTTTCCCATGTTCTCAACATAACAGGAATAAAAAGAATTTTCAAAGCCATGAAGTAAATTACCAACAAAAAAATAGCCCTCTTCCTTCCCCCACACTCCCTCCTGAATGGATAAATATTATGCCTTACCTGGTGTTGCTTGTATCTGGAACATCTTGGTTGTGTTGTCAGTAATGGATTTTAAAGGCTGAAGTTATCTTTTTTTTTTTCTCACAAAAGAGTGAAATAAATGTCTACTGGGGTATACTAATTAAACAAATACTTAAAAAGCTTCATCTTTTCTACTCAAGCCTGGAATATTATAATTCTTTGTCGTGTCTTAAAAGAGAAGGTAAACAAAACCTGTACCCAAGGTTACACTCACATTAGCTAAGCTTGCAAGCAGACTGTAACAAATTGAAAATGTATTGATATAAATAATAACACTTTTATCTATTATCTGTGGTTGGAGAACTGGGCATCCATATATTGATGACTTACCTTTGTACTTCATGCTCTCCATTTTATACATAAGAAGCAAGTGAGGGTAAGCATCTGAAAAATTAAGTAGGAAATTTGTGTCTGAAGTGCAACTTTACAAAATTTCTGACCCCTCAGGTTCAGCATTGCTATTCAGTAATGCAAGCTCTTCTTTAATTTCCAAAGAAATGCAACATATGTTGACTGTTTCTATATCTTTTCCAATGTAAATTAACATTTTAGACTTATTAAAGGGGGTTTTTTTAAGTAGAGGTGTAGAACTCATAATTAAAGAAAGAAACACCTCATCAACAAGACACTTTATCCTAAGATTTAACTGAACTCATGCTCTGATTTATCTTTAAACATATATTTAAGAGCTCAAGCTACAGTACATGCAAATACTCATTACTTGGGAAGATCAGGGCTTTAAAGCAGCTTCTATCCTTACTAACACAAGGTTCTCAGTGAAGTAGTAGTAGTTTGAGCTAAATCCTGAAGTCTGAAGAGTGAAGGTACACAGGTTGTCTGGAACCAACCTCACAGCTCAAGACCAGCAGAAGGGAGTGGCTTGCATATCTCCCTGTTCCCACTGTTCTTTTCCCTGGCTGAATACTTTTCCATATCCTCCCCACCAATTCTGACAGCAGTTAACTGGACCCTTCAGTAAACCATTTCCAGTCCTAATCTATCAGAAAACCAACCTAGTAAAAAGTGGGAGACTTTTATACTAAACTGGTGAGCTGAACCCAGTCTGTGAGGTTCCCAACGATTGCCAGGGCCAGCACAAGGGAGGGACTGGGACTGCACGGTCATGAACAGCAGTGTGGAGGTGGAGGGGAAAGGAGGAACTGCAAGACTTCAGCTGTTGCTAGCTACAAACTTGTCAGTTCAGTGTCTTGTCTAGCTTCACCCTCGGGCTGAATTCAGTTGATTCCTCAAGCCAGCATCAGCAATAGTCCCTTAGCTCAGCTGCTCCTTCAGTCCCTGTGCTGTTCCTTCATTTTCACCAGTACAAACATCAATTCAACACTTTGGTAAACTGTCAAACCAGAATAGATCCAGCTGAAAAGCAACGGTTTTCTTTACTGGTGTTAATTTAAGTGTAGATCAGCTCTCTGGCATGTTTTGCTTTTTCCATCAGAAGGGAAGAGGTGCTAGAGGGGAAACAGGAACAAGTAGCTAAAGAAAGGAGAGAAGTGCATGGAGTCTTTCTACAGCAGTGCAGGGTTACAACAGCTCAAAGTTGAGGTATAGCCTGAGGATCTTCCAGGCTATACCCATCTCATGCTCCTCAGAAAGTGTGCTTCCTAGGGCTGTCCCAACCACAGCAACGCTTTGCCCCCTGTCCCCAGAAGCCCCAGAAAGAGTCAGTGGTACAGACAGTGAAGACCCTTACCAGTGCCAGCTCCAGGCTGTCTTCACTAAGGCAAAAGGGAATCTGAAAGGAACTCTCCCGAGGAAGGGCATAGCTTACCTTTCTCCTTCTGAAACTCTTTGAAAACACATGTTACAGCAGTAAACTTCTATTACTGACTTCAAATATAAAGTCTGTTTAATGTAAATCTTCAGAAGAGTCCTGAATTTTAATATTAAACACAACACAGAGAGACTCCTACCCAGGCTCTCACTAGTGAATTAGGCACCAAATTAACTGAGAAACTTCATGGGTTTCCAAGTCCATAGCTGTACCTTCAGCCATGTCTAAGCCCCTGGATAGGTAAATTGTTGGTTTCCTGAGAATTTGGTACTGCGTCTTTGGCAGAAGTAATAGGTTGAGTAATGCTTTTATGTACTCTGGTTGCTGAAGGTTCTGATTTAGATTAAGCTTAATCCAATTTCACTGGAAAAGTAAGCAATTACTTCAAGAAAACTATGCTTAGTATCCATTGTCTTTTCCTTAAGACTTCCCTGGAAATCAACTTTACTAGTGCAGATGATCCCATCAGAATAAAAAAACTGAAGTAAAGTGTGAATCATGTCAGATAAAACAGTTTACTTCTGTAAGCTGTCTATGCAAAATTGATCTGGCACACGTGAGCACAAATTGTCCCCATGATATTCTGTCATACTCTGGTGGTGATCTTGACTTAAGCTGAACGGCTCTAGGGTCATTGGTTTAATCACAAAAGAATGTTTTTAATCTATCTTCTGTGCAATGACAACTGTGTCTGAAGGTTTCCCTGACAAGAGAAGTTACACAAAAGCTTTCACTTTGCCATCCTGTGCTGCGTATGTCATGTTCTCTCTCCTCAAATTTTAGCATATGTAAGGAATGAGAAAGTAAGTGAACAAATGTAATACATGTAATACAATAACTTGAAGCACATCTATACTGCAGTCAAATATGAGACTAGGTCTGCAAGCACAGTTGAGCAGGCTTCTGTTGCACGTACGTAGAGCCAAGGAATTCAGTGAGGGCTGTAATAAAAACTGATAAGCCCAATAGCAGTTGCATGCTTCTAACTCCTCTTCTACTGCCATGGAACCATGTATCACTAGCATTTGATGACTACATAAGCTGCAGTCATTTCTTTGACAGCAGCATAAGCATAGCCACTGTAGATTAAAAGTCTGAAGAAAGAAATTGAGTGATATAAAATTTGTCATGAGAGCTTTCTACCAAAAAAAAATGCCCCACTATATAAGAGCTGTCATACAATAGCTGATTCATGAGGCATCTCCACTGAATATAATTGTGATTCAAAGTAGGTAAAGGTAGTGGCTCATGTTGTCTATCTACAGGCTTTCAGATGGTAATTCTGAAATAAATCTGGAATTTCACTTGCTCATAGCTAAAATTCCAAATCCTCAGAGCTTAGGAAACAGAGAAAGAGGCAGCAGAAGCATTGACTCCCAGTGTCCTAATTAGTTTAAATCCAATAATTATTTCTAATATGTTTTGTATTAATTAGTAATTTAGATAAATTTTGTGAACAATTTGTTCTGTCACTAAGAGAATGTGCTATTTTCAGTATCTGAATATTTTTTGACTGAATTAAATCAGTGCAAAGTTCCCAGGGGACATAAGAGTGCAGAACTGATTCCTAATTTTTCCGTATTAGCTCATTTGAAACTTACTCAAACATTTGTAAAGAAGAAAAAACCAGCTAAATCTCAGCTCTAACTGTACCGTTACACTTGTGTCATGAAGCTCCAGAGTTCTGCTGTGATCCATTTCCCTGTGCATGCTTTTCCTTTCTTAATAGAACTTGCTGTCAGCAGCAAGATTTCCAGGCTGTTAAAACTGATTAAAGATGATGACAGGATACTTGTTAAAGTTGGGGATTTCCCCCCTCTTCTACTTCAGATGTGGGACTTCAAAAGGCTCCTGAATGATGAGTCATGTAGTTAAAATTTTACAAACCAGGCCCAAAGCTGAACGAAAATGTGTTAATGAAACAGTGAAGGATGAAACTAATACACTTAGATAGGCGGAATATAAGGTGGAAATCTCTGCTTTACTTGCCTTAATGTATTCCAATAAATAATATAATATGATATATAGGCAATGTGTACAGTTGAAAAGCCAGGAGAGACTTTCTTAAAAAAACATAAACCAAAAACCAGAAAAGCAGAAGAAATACTGTACAGGATACTTTGCACTGTACTCAACAAATGTTATACAGACAGTGAAAACACATGTGAAATATTTAGGCTTCCAAAATTACTCCTTGAATATCCTTCCTGGTAGGTTCTGTGTTGTAACTGCTCTATCAGGTTGACTTATGCCACTTGCCAGTACTTGTAAGGCTCTGCAAGTACTGATGCGTCTGAGGCACAGCCAGGTATTACAGAGGGATGATCTGAGTTGCTCCTTTCCCTTGAAGTATCCCTGAGTCAACTGCATTCTCCCTAGTGCCTCCTGCCTTGTCAGAGTAGTTGCCACACTTCAGATTTAAATATACACTTGAGATACTTCATTACAGCTAAACTTATCCCTCAATCCTTGTAATAGTCAAACTTAGAAAATTCCCTTTTTTCTTTTACCTTTCAATTTAAGAAGCCATTCTTTGCATTTTTGCTTAACCAGTTCTTTTTGTGACTTTGTGTCCATCCAATGTGAATGATTTAACTCTAGAAATGTTTGTATTTCACTGATACATTAAAGATACCTCTGCATCAGTTTCAATATTAGCTGTAAAGTCAAAAGAGGTATAGAAATCTCACTGTTGTAGAGAGGCTGGCGTTATGAAAAGGAATCTGAAAGAAACCTGCTAGGCTTGACAGTAATTTAATAGACATTTAACCTGTAAGGTTTAGGGAGTACTCTCTCCACATAACTTATAAGACTCCAAATACTTCCTCACACCACCTAGTATACAATCCTTAGTGCAAAAGGCCAAAAGCAAAACAAGGATATAGTGCATCATGGGGGAAATAAGCAAAGATATTACCAGGTCCTAGGTCCTTCCACTAGGAGGAATCTGTTACAAAAACATCCACGTGATTTTTAAGTAGTGCATCATAGCATGTACAAAATAAACCCCCCAACTATTCTTATTGGTTCAACCTATGTGGAGAATTCCTTCTTCATGCCAGATATGGTAAAGGTTGTGATGCTGAGCATGAGACCAGCTGAGCTGGGGTGGATTGAATGTGTCTGGCAAAAAAGAACTGGGGCAGAAATTGCTGGATGTGGGGTAGTAAGAGTGAGCAGGCACAACAGGACGGATAGGATAATGTTTAGGACATGGAGTGGGAGAGGTTGAATGGCAGATCAGGTTATGAAACAGGTTAGGTGAGGTGCCTTGGAAGGGAAATGAAGCCTGAGGATCAGTGTGGACCTGATGTTTCAGACCCTAAACATTCCTGTGCTGAGACAGAATTGTCAGCATGCAAGATATGTCCCTTCATACAGAGGATGGCAATTTGGTCTGTTTCTCTGCTAGCAAAAATAAGTGTTCATCATGGATCTAAAAGTTAAAGCTTTCTTAATGACTCAATCAGGTGTTAGTGTGATGCCACATAATGGAATATTGCTATAATTTTTTTAACTTAGAAGGTAAATATGTATAAATTTACACACATACATGTAATGGTCAGAAAGTATTCCAAAATTTTGAGAAAAAAACACTCAAAATTTAGAAAAATTTTTATTAAAGCCCTTCTTTGCAATCTCACTGTGATCCTTTTATATATTTGTAGTTCTGAACTGGATAGATGTATACCAATTCTTATTATATTGTTACCTCAGTTCCAACAGAAAGGACAGATTTTGGGGGGTTTCTGGTTATCACAGCCAGGGAATAGAAACTTGATTTGCAGAAAACAGGACAATGGGAAGAGTGAAGCACATGCTAGCAAGAATAAAAGGATTGCTTTTGCTGTGAAGGCTGTGCTGTGTAGCTGAGATTTATCTCTGCTCTCAAACATTGAAACCCTTTTTGACACAAAGGGTCACTTTAACAAACTTGTCATGCTCCTTGTTTTCCCCTTGCATTCTGGGTTCTTGTCTTGAGACCTTGTGGTCTGATTTGCACAAGTGCTGCATGCTCAACCACAGGGAGCTGAACACTGAGCTTATGAAGTAGTGTATAACCTCAAGTGTTCTGAAAAATGAACTCTTAAGCACCTCAAGTTGGATGTCTATAATGTATGAATACTTCTGAATGTAATCTCTGCATGTATCAGAACATCATTTGCATTCTGAGAGCTGTATCATTCCCTTATAACATAGAATAAATTAGTCAATGTTTGTGCAGCTCCTGCACATTACAGCAATGAGCATCTTTGTAAACCTCATGAGGAAATTAATATTCTGTCCTCAGAGCAGGGTCTGAGTGACAAGGAGAAATGAAGTATTGAGCTAGCTGTTCATTAAATGTGTTAAGTGAGGTGAGATCTTTTACAATAAAAATATATCTATGATGATTTAATTAAGGTTTGCATTGTATTGCACATCCACAAAATAGAAAAATTAAATTGGCATAAATAACCCAAATTCTGACAATTCCTAATTTTGCTTTCTTACTTTTGTTGACTTATAATAACCTTTCCTTTAATGTAGTCTTCCCTAACTGCCAATGAAACTATGTAAGGAAAAAAATCTGCTCCTTGCGTATCCAAAAAGATGTGTTTTCAAATGTGGACAATAACTCTCTTACTTAAAGAAATTATGTAGTACTAATTACTGAATAGGTAATTATTATGTTTATAAGGCAAATGGAGCTCAAATTTAGACTTCTGCAGTTCAGTGAGAGTGTAGGAAGAGCCTTTCCATACACAGCAGCTGGGTTTCAAGGTACACACCTGCTTTGCACCTGCGCTTCTCTTTCAGAAATCCTCACAATGGATAAGGAACCAAACCAGTCATAACTGTAAAACAGCGTAGCCTGGCCTGGGAAAGCATGTTCAGACAGTTTTTGCCTGCATAGTACAGAGTTGTCATTGGTGCCCATGGGACAGAATGAGGCCATTAACAGATTTGGCTTGGCCTGGCAGATCAAGCAGGATTTCTTTTGTTGTGGTGACAGATTTAGTTCATGGATAGATAAAAAATTCTTTCTTAAAAAGGCAAATTCTCCTGAATAGTCTCAATTCTACTTTTTACAAGCAACTGGCTTGTATGAATAGTTCACTAATTTTGAACACTCTGCACATAATATTCTGAGGATCAGTGTTGGAAAATCAGTAGCTTATGATGAGTTACTACAAAGTCAACAAATGTAGTAAAATGTGATGTACTCTTAAAATTAATCTTATGAATAGTGCAGACATTATACTGCTCACAGACCATGGCAGCTTTGTCTATTTTATAATAACCCAGCCTCCAGTTGCCACACTGCCCTTCTCTGTAAGACAGAGGAAACTGCCCAGGACCGTTACTCTTATTTTGTTTATTAATTGTCTACTTCTTAGGCCATAGCCATCTCCCAACTGTCTATGTACCTCAGAAGAAACGATATTAAAGCAGTTCTCATGTTTGGTGTGCAGAAATGACCGTATGCATGGGGGGTTAATCAAAGTGGGGAAAAATTCAACCCTCTTCACCTGAACCTTTCATTATACATCACAGGGAGGGGGGAAGGAAGAGGGGAACATAACCCAAAACTGAGCAAGAAATCCAAACTGATGGCACTTATGCAATGCAAATGTGATCCAACATATTGTAGATTAGTATGTTGAGCTTTAATGAGTAGATTGAACCAAAACAATTGCATATTAACCCTCATCTGGTCACAGCTAATTAGACTTGTAAAGGCTCTTAGCAGCAGTTCTTCACTGTGAAGGTTATAAGTGTGTAAATGTAAAGTGCTGCTGCTCATTGCATTTTTTCAGGAGGATGTAGCTCCAGTGTGGCTGGGTGGGCACTGGGCCTGTCAGGCAGAAATGCTTCTGAGGTGGACTGCCCAGAGAGTTCACTGGGAATAGTTTACAGCTGTATGTTACTAAACAGTGCGCCTATAAGGAAATAGTGCCGGTCTATTGTGCTGCCAATTGAGACACAAAAGATCACAGAATCACAGAATCAACTAGGTTGGAAAAGACCTCTGAGATCATCGAGTCCAACCTTTGACCTAACACCACCTCATCTCCTAGACCGTGGCACTAAGTGTCACATCCAGTCTCTTCTTAAACACCTTCAGGGACGGTGACTGCCACCTCCCTGGGCAGCCCATTCCAACGTCCAATCACTCTCTCTGTAAAGAACTTATTCCTAATGTTCAACCTAAACCTCCCCTGTGGTGGCTTAAGACTGTGCCCTCTTGTCCTACTGCTGGTTGCCTGGGAGAAGAGACTGACCCCTCCTGACTACAACTTCTTTCAGGCAGTTGTAGAGAGTGATAAGGTCACCCCTGAGCCTCCTCCAGGCTAAACAACCCCAACTCGCTCAGCCTCTCCTCATAGGACTTGTACTCCAGTCACTTCAGCAGCCTCATTGCCCTTCTTTGGACATGCTCCAGAACCTCAATATCCTTCCTGAATTGAGGAGCCCAGAACTGGACACAGTACTCGAGGTGCAGCCAAGCTGAGTTAAGGTAGACACATTACTCTCTCATTCATGCTGTAGATGGAGTATGAGTTCAATACAACATTGGAGAACCCAGAAGAGATATGGATGCATTCAACTGTTAAGGTTGCTTTGTAAGATCAGGTTCATGGCAGAGGGGTTGGAGAAGTAGTGCGCTATTTTCAATGTAATTAAAGTATGTTTTACTGTCAAAGACTCTTAAGAGATCAGATTTACCCTTATTTGTTTAAAAGAAGAAAAAATCCGGATTATCAGATCAATAGATCTGTTTTATTTGGTGGTGGTTTTTTTTCCTTGTGCCTTTCTTTATAATATTTAAATGTTATTTCAGTATTTGCTTACTTAAAGTACTGTGTTATTCTGGAATTTCCTTCAACAGAGCTCAATCATAATTTAAAAATTACTTACAGTTGCCCCATTACGGTGTTTAGGCCAGCATTTTGGACTTAATTGATGTCAGTAGGATAGTCTAAAACTATAAAGAATAAATCTGTTTTATTGGTATTTATTTAGTACAGCAACGAGTATTGGATTTGTAATTTCCGGTGCTTCTTAGGGGACTTCTGTAGGGAGAACGCCTTTTCTGAACTCTCTGTGCTTGGCTGTTCCCAGAACAATGCTTATTGATATCAGTTTTTTTATTATTGATCTGCTCACTATAAAGTCCTTTCATCTTCACATTTTATTTTTCTGTCTTTTTGCTTTCATCCGGCTTTGTGTTTAGTACACGGTGTGGACTGCCCTGTGGGTCACCTGGAATGTTTTCATTATCTGCTTCTATTTGGAAGTAGGCGGACTTTCCAAGGTAGGTCACTTATCCTTCTTCAGTTTGTGGGAGAGTGTTTTAACAGCAGGACTCTCAGATTTTAGCAGACTGGAACCACAGAGGAAAAATGTCATTGTTTGAACATACAATTTGATCTTTGGATCCCCTCCAACAAGAGCTCTAGCGTTTGAACTTCTCCCTGATAGTAAATAGCCAAGGGTTTGAAGTACCTAAATACAATGAATCTAAATTATAGTTGCCTTCTGAAGTACCATCTGAGGTGAGGGGTGGGGAGGGTATTCAGTTGTAAATTTGAGGTTCTTTTTGATTGTTGAAAAACAGGCAATGTCGTTTTAGTGGAGTTTTCAAGTGCATATGAAAAGTGTGAATTTCCAAGATTGCTTTGAAAGGAGCTAAAACAATTACTAAGAGGGTTAATGTAATAAGTTTTGAGCAAATTGGTCTCACAGTGAGAATGTTAATTCTTCTAAAAAAGAACGAATGGCAAAGGATGACTTTTGTCACGTCTGAATAAAACTTTCTTTACATGGCACTCAGTGCCCTTGGTCACCAATTCCTTATTCAGACCTTTGATTAGAGCAGAAATATTTGCTGGAATTATCGAGAGACATGTGCGCTCGTTCAAGGTAGCGCTTAGGTTAGCAGAGTTTATGTTTAGCATTGTATCTACAGTCAGTTCTGTACAACACCTGCTGGTTTTTATCCTCAAGTTGGACATAGATGATACTAATCTTTGTTTACCACAACCACACTTAAATGATTCCAGGCAGAGTATACCATGGCACATGCTGGTCCTGGCATTTTTACTAGAATAAATGTCACCATTACTGACTGTAGATTTAGTGATATGAACCACATCACTGTTAATTCATGCAATGCTTTTAGAGAATGCAATCCTGTGTAATGTGCTCTAGGGAGACCCTGCTTGAGCAGGGAGGTTGGACCAGATGACCCACTGTGGTCCCTTCCAACCTTACCCGTTCTGTGATTCTGTGATTTGTGTACTTCACTCAATTCAGAGTGGAACATTTATGAGCTACATACTTGCTAGCATTAAAAGTCCTAGCTTTTGGCTAACAACAAACAGAAAGCTGGTGAAACTAATTTAATAAGAAATAAAATTTAATTTACTCAGTAGAAATTCCATTAAGATTAAAGCTTTCAGTGATAGGTTCCTTTGGTGATAAAATTTCATAATGAAAAGCTGCAACAATTTATTTTTCCTCCAAATATGATGTAGCTATGAGAAGTCATGGGCTTGATGAGGGAATTAGTGCACTTCATAGAGGATCAAAATAAATGATCCTAATGGTATGTTCTGATTTAAAAATCTATTAGATGAACAGAAGAGCAACACATAGAAGTTATGGATGCCTGAAGTAATTGTTCATTCTCATGATATACAGAGGTTGTATTTTTTCATTTAGTTGGGCCATGTCTGTTTTTGTAGTGACTATTATATTTTATATATAACTGGTATTTTTATCTAAGGGCCTAGGAAGTGAAGCAAAACTTTTAGTCTGACCCCTCTAAGTTTGTGAAAATTTTAGTTGTTTTTCCATTGATTTCAAAGGATTCTGATCACCTCCTTAGTTTAACAGGTTTATAAACCAGTAGATATTAATTGAAACCCTGCATCTTCCAGTTTCACTTCTGTTTCACTTTTAGTTCTTTTTATTTAACACATATGATAAATCACAGTACAGAGAAATAGTAGCAAAAATATTATTCGGAAGTTGAGAAAATTCCCTTTTATTAGTATATACTTCAGTTGATCTTAACATTTTTGTGGCATTTTTATCTTGTGGTTGATAACGACAACATTTGAAAAGTATTTTCTCAACAAGTGAAAGACACAAAATTATTTCCATGGAAGTTGACTGCTTTTGTATAGATTATGTCAAAGGTCTGAGTGTTGGCACCAAGTTAGTAATGGTAGAATCTAGAATCTTGTTCAGCAAATCACGGAATTTTTGATTCATTTAATGCTCTTTCTGAAAATTATGCTAGAGATGATGAAGCCATCAAGAGACTGAGGTCTTTTTGCACCATGTGCCAAAAATCCTGGGTATTTATAAATTGTATGTGACTTGATTGGAACCCAGCTTTTATCCGAGATGTTAGCTTAAAAAATTCATCATTGCTTGCCATTAATATGTTCCTGTGTTGTCAGGTGTGATAGAAAGATGCTATTATCAAGACATGTTAGTGTGGCTGAGAAATAAAACACCATCATAAGCTTTCCAAGGATGGCTGTTTATTCTGTATTGAAATCTTGGCAGGCAATAGTCACTTTTTTTTCTTTCTATTGTACTATTTTTCCATTAAAAAAAAAGCAGCTTTGTTTCTGAAATGTATACAGATTGATTATAATTTTAAACTTCTGTTGGCATACTATCAGGGGAAAATTATGGTGCTGTCTTGCAGATGACTGATTTCTATTGGTTTGTTTGTTTTTAAGCACTTTCATGTTTGTATTTGCTCTGACCAGAATTAGTTATCTGTTGATTGGAGTCCCATGTGTTTATTAGGTCTTCAGTCATGAATGCTACAGAAAATATAACTTGATACAATGATAAATGGTAATTTGAATTCAATATATTCAAAGGACTACGCACACAATGCAGACAGACTTTTCAAATGTCGTAATACAAACCCACCACTGCTGAAATTTTGCTCAGATCTTATTCCTGCAGCAGAGAGGAAGATCTCCTTTGAATATTCGCTGAATTCTGCCAAGAAGTTCCATTGCAGTTAATGGAAAGTTTGAATGAGATATAAGGACATACGTAATTTAGACCTGTTCTTTACTGTGAAAGTTTGAAACATTTTCCCTTCAATTATAATGCATAATGTTCAGATTTTCTTGGTAAGCTGATATTTTATTGTTTTTAAGGAACAGTTTGGTAAGGCAATCTCCTGGGAAAAGGATGATATGGATTCAAGTCATCTTGGGTATGAAAGGGAAATAAACGCAGCTCTCCCACAGCCAGCTGTTGTCAGTAGAAAACTAACGAGCAAAGGTTTCCTTTTTAACTACCTTATAAACAACAAGCTTATTTTTCATTTACATGAAGATGTACAAATAAAATTTTAACGTTTTTATCAGTGTTAAAGAAATTGTATTTGAACAGAAATAAAAGAAATATACCCATATACATATTTTTTTATTTGTGTAAACTTAGGTTTTTTTCTGATTTTAGCAGTGATAAAACTTCCCATACGAAAAATGAAATTTGCCTGTCTTTTTTATTTACTACTTTTATGAAATTAAAAGCATAATTTCTAGTGTTAACCATCCTGTATGAGAGAAACAAAGCTGTTATTGTAAAATGGCCTTTTAATCCTCAACTGCAAGATGACAGTTTGCTACATCCATATATGAGCTCATTAGTTGCTAGCATCTCATTCTTGGTCTTGAAAGGAAAATATGTATGAATTGTCATATTCCAGATTAAGGACAATTTAAAGCATATAGACACAAACAAGAACTGTTTTTCAGAAGTTTTGTATGTGCTTAAATATTGACCAGATAGCTTCTAATACTTCTAATACTTCTAATGTGTATAAGACAGCCCTTCATCCCCAGCAATACATGCTTTTATGTACTCCTGTACAAAGGAGACTTCATTTGTTTCGAGTGTAAGTTAATAATTCTATTGTTTATATCCCTCCAGTATTTCAGATCCAGTGTGAAAATAGCTGTGTTTATTTGTGTTTATCATTTGCACTTCCAACTGATAGTTTTTGATAGTCTATTTTTTCTACTACTGCTTGTGTTATTGTGAATTACTGGCATTTCTTTCCATGTGTTGAAACCTTTATTCAGTAAATGTACAGCACCATTCCAGTACTTCGTACACATTTCCTAGTTGTTTGATATAGCTTACCTAAGCAGCTGGGCAACATAATTGTGAGATCTTCTCTTTTTCTATGATATTTCTGCTTATTTTGCATTGCTTTTCCATGACATGCTTCTTCAGCATGAACCTTGCCTCATTCTGGATTACTTTTAGTTTAGCTCTCAAAATTGAGCTCTATGTCAACTGACTTGCATTTTTTGGCCAAGGATTTGCATGACACACAGTTGTATATTGTTAAATGTGAGTTGGAGCCCTCTGACATCCCTATGACTCTAGCTTCTCGAACCTTTCCCTTGAAGCCAAAGGAAATTTTGCTTATGTTATTTAATAAAACAAGATTTTTCCTGTATTTTTCCCAGTAATATGTACTTTTTTCAATGGGAGTTTGAAGTCTGTAGGGCTCCCATCCAACTTTATGAAGCTGGAGACAGAACTATAGGCTAATTTATTATATGGACCTGTAATTGGAGGATAGAGCTGTAACTGATAAAATTAGTTATTTCTTCCATCTGAGAACAAAATGGACTAATAATTTACTTATTAAAATGCTGTGAGAATTGAAACATATTAGTCTTTTCTAAAAAAAATAGCCTCAGAAGAAGGGCTAATTATGTGGACTTTATATTGACTGTTTCTGAAATCCAATTTATTCCATCTGGTGCCTGTCAGTCAGTCCTTAATTGTGGTGCAATTATATCTAATCATCTCAAACGGAGTAAGTTAAGTTCAGAGCCAATGCTAATTTGTATTAATAGAGATGTAAAGGTATATTCTGGGGCTTGTGTCTTTTTTTTTTGAATGTGAAATGAGAGCATAAACATTGGTTGAATTTAGGGCCAAAAATATGAAAGAAAAAGTGATTCTCATACTAACTTGTGCTGATGTAAGTGAAAAAACAGAGACAATTATTTTGGTGCAATTAACATCATAAGTAGCTCTATGGAATTGCCCACTCCAAAAAGCTTGTGGATAAAGTTGGCTGCATCCATAAAACCTACATGAAAGATCAGTAGATGGAGGATAAAGGACTTCCTTAGTCTAAGCAGAAGACTGAAGGTAGGTCGTCATACGTCTACTCACATGTGACTTTTGGGTGAAGAAAAGTGATCAGATTTTTGTCATATCCACTGGGAAGAAGAGCAACAAATAGTTTGC